CAAAAAAATAAGGTTCAGGATAAATCTAAAAATAGCCAAGGATATTCTAATAAGTACCCTTGCTTCAATGATATACAGGCTAGGAATGTTAATCACATTTCTCTGTATTTCTGCATTGGCCATCAGTTTTTCTAAAGCCTAATTATGTATCAATGCTAGTCTGCTCTAAGCAATGCTAATAAAAGTATATATTTAAATTATTTAACACAGTGTTTTCCAAATTTCCTTGCTAAAATGTTGTGCTAAATATACATTAAGCAAATGAGATGGCAACACTAAATCGACTAATGTACCCCTTTCCTTTGCTAATACAATAATGCCATCTCTATTTTTTTCATTTCAACTGCAGTCCACTGAAGTTCAAAATTAAAGAAATATTTTCATTATTATTACATTTAATGCTATTAAATGATATAATTTGGTTTTAATGATGAAATTTTAATGTTTTTCTAAAAAGGAAACCCTGGAAAAAGTAGTCTCCTGCTGATATAATAGGGATATTATTTTGCTATTACCATATCTGCATAAGCAGATGATTCTTTTTATTTTGAATAGCAGAGTAACTAGACTAAGAACTTTCCTCTGCAGAAACTTGAAATTTAGATTTAGATAATAATAACTTGTACTATCTCTAGAGATATCAGAGATAATGATATATATCAATAATAGTAAAAGGTACTAAGTAATATATATTTGGAAAAGGTTATTTTGTAATCAAAAGACAATGACCATTTTTATTCACATATGTGCTAGTAAAATATTTTTAAAAATATATGGGATATCTGGGTCTTCCTCATAGCTCAAAGGCACTGTTTGTTATACTGCTTATTCTTCCCATTAGTCTACCTATCTAATTAATTCTTGTTTCTTTGACTGACACAAGTGGCATGCAATAGGTCTGTAAATTAAAAGTACAGATGGCAAATTGCAAATATATATATATATATATATATATATATATGAAAAACATTTTGTATTTCAGAGTTTGGCTCTAAAGAGTCTGAGATATTGATAGTAATAATGTCTAGTTAAAATGATACACAGTGAAGAAACACCAGTATATTTTAACCTCATTATGTTTTCTGAAAACATGGGTATTCTACAATGGGTGCTAGAAAAAAATCAATCTAAATGACATGAAATGAGTGTCCATATTCTCAAACATTTCTAGTTATTTAAGTTAATGATAACTCTTCTGAGTTGGGATGGTTTTACCCTTTCAATTTTAACTTGTGTAAACTACTTATTAATCTTTCTTGTCATTATGGTTTCAAAATGTGATGATTGGAACAGAGATGGAAGAAAGTATAAACAGATTTTGTTCAAACAATTGATATCAAACCCAAAATAAGAAGCCTTAAAGACTGTCTTCTTTTTTATATCAAATACTATATATTTTTCCTTGATTACTTTTTTAGAGATTAAAAACCTGCATGTATGCAAAGTTAAGTCTGAGACCATTCACTTGAGGAGTAAAACTTCCAACAAACTTCCAATAGGCAGAGCTAATTCTTGGAAAAGAAGACTCTAAAAACCACTGAAGAGTGATACAGGGATTAGCCAAGCAGAAAATAGAATCTGTGTCACCATCCTCATGAAGTCAAATTGAAGTGGATTAAAATGAAACTCTAATTGGTTTGTAAATGTCATTTTGAGGATACAAAAATTTCTCCCAAGTCCTAGTGTTCTTTTTTTGTTAGTCAAATTTGACTGTCATTATTCATTTTTGATATAAAGTTACCCTAGTAAATAAGTAAAGACATTTCCACACTGTATTGCATATCCCAAATGGAAATGGCTTTCTACAGTAATATGTAAAAGTCATCTAGAACAGGCACAATGTCTTACTCTTGATTTTCTGATTTCTCTAAAGAGAATATCTTCACTATGTTATTCACAAGGAAAAGCTGACAAAGCATTCTCTTAATATAGAGAGTTTTTTGTGAGTTAGCAAATAAGTCAATTTGTTTGAAACTCAGGGAGGAAAACAATATATATGAAACCCACAATGCATGTGAAGTATATATCTTATAGACAAATCACAAGAGGAAGCAAATTGTCTGATTCATAATAAATATATATATTTAAGGAGATAAACCTTTTATAGCTATAAGCATAAAAATACATAAATTATTAAATAATTTTACCCTAGATATACTTATTTTTGCATATGTTAACATTTAAACACACTAGAAACAGCTCCTGGAATTGCTTATACTAATACCTATTGCTTCTCATTTTAAAAGGCAATTCCACTTAAAACCAAACCTCAGGCTTCAAAATACCAGCCAAGGCCAAACAAAGCATACCAAAGTCTATATATGCAAGATATGAAAACTTCCAATGCTTCCATGACTTTCTAATTTATAAAGCAACCCGATCAACAAAGCACAATGTTTAAAATTCTAAAAGTATCATGTGGCACATATTTCATAAGACAAATATAGCTTTAATTCGCCAATAATAAAAGTCTCCCCAAATATAAAACAAAATGTTTCATTAACCTCCTAATAGATAATAGATTTGAAATGAAAGTATCTTTGGAGAATAGCTGACACTGTCATACATAAGCTAAAGAACTGATATTTGGTTAAATAAAAATATGGACTTCTCAAAAGTAATTACTAAATAGGCATGAAAGAAGTTCATGAATCTCTCCTGTTAAATCCATTGAAGAGAGTGTTCTGAGATTTCAAGAAATGATATTCTGTCTTTTGTGACTAACAGATCAATAAATAAAAATCTTTATGATTGAATTGATACTTATTTTTTCTTTCAATCATCATTGACATCATATTTTGGAAAATATTGAGCAAAAATTTATAAATGCACATTTGGGTAGTCCCCTAACACACTGGCAGACACTGACAGATATTTAAAAATATAATACAAGATTTATGCTGAATGCTCATCTTATTGACAGCCATAAGTAAACTTAATAAACCTTTTTTAGGAGACAGAATGCTTTTTCAATTGGAAGCAGTCCATAAAAGCAGTCCATAGAAAGTGTTTTCAGATCTAAGATTTTATTGGCAAAATAAGACCATAATCAGTGGTTGAGTCTCTATTAATCAGCTAGTATTTCATATGACATTTGGTTTATTTTGAATTGTTCAAGTTTGAGACCGTATAATGGTGCTCCTATTGGTGATACAATATATGTTTAGACACACACTTTCCATTTAGGAGAGCATATGAAGTTAGGTATATAAGGCTCCTTCATATTGCAAAATCTATTATTCACGTAACTGCCTTTCTCTGATTACAGGTTTATAAATCACTCTGATTATTATGTGGATGCCTATCTAGGCACCCCTATTTCATTGATTCAAAGGAAGATTTGGAAACCATTTTATCACTTAATAAGAAAAGATCTATTTTAAACCTACTCTCACTATTTTAGAAAGGATAGAACACCCACAGGATAAATAGAGTATAAAGTCCAGGTAACAGGAACTGACTACCACATGTAGATTTAATCATTAAAAAACATATCAACAGGCCTATACTTTAAATTTATAAACTATAGCTCTTATCCACAGGGGTTGAAATCCATATTGTCATTGGACCTACTCTCTCTACCTCACTGTAGTAAGATAAAACTCATGAATCTAGACTAGGAGTAAATAGTGAGGCAACCCTCCCCTATGACACAAAATAAGGACATATGATTGATGTGATTTCTACCTTACAGCTAAAAACTGGAGCAGAGGGATGTTGATAATTTATAGAGGCAACAAGAAGAGGTTATAGGAGTGAGTGCTCAGCCATGCATTATCCAAAGGGAAGAAACATTTCTAATAAACTTAATCTGATTCCAACCTCAAATCTCACATTTATGTTGTTAAAATTTGCCTTTCCGAGTACATTTGCTTACCAAGAGCAATATATTGGTCAATTAGATAGGAGCATTCTCATTCTTATGATAAAAATCTCATTTAAAATTACTTAATTTTCATTTTGATTTATATCAATTTTTAAGCATCTTTAAAGTTAACTCTCCTTCCCTTCAATATGGATTTGCTAGATGATCTGAGGCAAACAGGCTTCTGGATCTGCAATACTGAGAACAAAATTCCTCTTGTTAAAAAGTTCACCAGCAAAAGGCTATCTTCAGAATGATTTCTGAGATTTTCCTGATGGGACCTACCACCACTACTCAAAGATCTTCTGTTCTGGAATTAATTCACGATCCCAAAGATCACTGAATTATCAGCTTCTATTACATCACAGCTTCTACCAAAATATCAGCTTCAATTATATTGCAGACATCAATTACTCTCAATCTGCTTCTCCAACTTCTCTTTTCACAGTGTGGTAAAGCTTTAAGAAAGTGAGAACAGAGCCTGCAGTTTCAAAGTTGGTACACCAGAACACATGCCTCATAGGCTAGAAGAGTAGAAGTCAGAATGTCATTATATTTTACCTATCATCCACATATCTGGAAGGTATGCCTATGTAGCACCAGAGATAAGGATCAAAGTTATTTAAGTGTAATATAATAAAAATATAAATAAAGTGCTTCCTGTCAACTGAAGAAGCAAAAAATGAAATACCACCCAATGGAGGATCTCCCCAGAGTGAAAAATTATACTAGAAATAGCGCCAAGAATAGAATTCCTGATTAAATAGTAAACCATGTTGCCTTTTAGAATATATGAATGAAATTGGCAAGAGTAAATAATTAATTATAGCTGATTAGTCTATCAAATCTCTTGGTAGAATAAGAAAAAATTAACTTTTTATAATTATTTGGAGTCGATGTACTTCAAATGCAGTATGCTTCATCCATGAGATATATACATTCTAAAGGCTTGTTACTAAAATCAAATAGGGCTATTCATGATACTGCAAGAAGGCAACATTTTAAATATATGTAGAATATAGGAAAAGATAAGATACATAGTTTGTATCTTATGTATAGTATGTGGAAATGTCAAGTCTGAGATGAAAAGCATTAAATTATATTAAAAATGGTAGTAGTCCAAAAATATACCAACCTTCAGGATCAAGTAGTTTTTCTATGCCTAATTGATATTTTGCAATGTTGAATGCATGTTCCAGTCGTTGTGTGGCTGACTGCTGGCAGACCACACTATTCCAATCAAACAAGTCTGGCCTGAAACACATACATACACACACACAAAGACAAATATAAATCAATCTAGAATGTTCCATGGGATTCACTTCAATTATGAATTTTGATTGACAACCCATGCCCATAGTCCTTAAAAGTTGAATGTTAATCTTTATTACCCCTCAATAACATTTCCCATAGAAACAAGTCACAATTTTAATTGAAAATTCTGATGGTATATATGCAATTTTATTTGTCAATTATACCTCAATAAAGATGGCGGGAGAAAATCCTGAAGAAAACAAAGAGTTATTCTACTGTATTCAAGCCACAAAAATGTATTGATCTCATCCAATCTCATGGATTTGAGTGCCAGCCACTTACTGGTAATTGCCAATTGCATAAGCCTAACCCAGACCTCTTCCCTGAACTCTAAACTCTAGATTTATCTGCCTACTCAATATCTCCACTTAGTCATCATAAGCCTCAAGCGTCCCAAACTGAGCTTCTAACATGTACCCTCATCCCACTCCCCAAAGCCCACCCACTTCTCTTGCAGTTCTCTCATCTTCAACAATGAATGAAAAGTTCAGACTTGCAGTTACTCAGATGATCATACTTGATAATTCTTTTACTCCCCCACAACATTTCATTCAAAATATTTGACCAGAATTTGACCACTTCTCATTATCCTCACTTCCATCAGTCTAGTCCAAAATACCATTTTATCTTGCGTGGAATATTGCAATAGCCTAATTGCTTCCCCTTCTCTTGCTCTTTACCTTGCTAAGCAGTGTTCAACAGAGCTGCTGGAGTGATCTGTTAAAATATGTTTCCTCATATCTGTCTTTTCAAATCCCTGCTATAGGGAGGGTAAAAATCACATATTTAACATGGTCTGGTTCCCTATTAACTCTCTGATTTTATTTCTTGCCTCTCTCTTCATATTCCACAAACAGGATAGATAGTTTCCTACATTTGTATTTGTTGGAGTTCTCTTCTCCCAGACTTGGACATGGCTCACTCTTCAAAAATCACATTATTGATGAGTCCTTTCCCACCCAATCCCTATCTAAAATTGCATGCCCCAAATCAAACTTATACATACTTACTTTCTTTCACCTAAACTGCTTTATAGTATTCTCATTAGCACTTACTGCTATTTAACATATTATGTAATCTAAGTAAATTTATCTCTTTGTCTGTCTCCTCCACTAAAATGTAGAATATAGAATATTTTTTGACAGATTTGTTCACTGCTAGAAAACCAGCCTGGCATATATAGGGGTTCAATAAATATTTATCAACTGCATAAGAGAATAGATGAGCACATACTATACAAATATCATTTTACTGGATAACAGAGAAAGCACAAAGTAGTATAAGAGGCACTTTGTATATGGATTTTAAATCTAATAAGGAAGAAAAATGCAGAAGCTATAATAAGTTAATTAAAATTTCATTAAATTATCTCCCATTCTGTAGGTTGTCTGTTTGCTTTCATGACTGTTTCTTTGGCTGTGCAGAAGCTTTTTAGTTTGATCAGATCTCATTTATTTATTTTTGTTGCTGCCGGGATTGCCTTTGAGGTCTTCTTCATAAATTCTTTGCATAGGCCGATGTCTAGGAGAGAGTTTCCAACATTTTCCTGTAGAATTCTAATAGTTTCATACCATAGGTTTACGTCTGTTGTTACCCAGCGTGAGTTGATTTTTGAGAGAGGTGAAAGGTGTGGATCCTGCTTCAGGCTTCTACAAGTGGCTATCCAGTTTTCCCAGCACCATTTATTGAATAGGGATTCTTTTCCCCAGTGTATGCTTTTGTCTGCTTTGTCGAAGATTAGATGGCTATATGAGGATGGTTTTATATCAGTGTTCTCAGTTCTGTTCCACTGGTCAATATTCCTACATTTATAGGGTGGGAGGGGGGAGGAGGGGACGGGTATGTACATACATGAGGGAGATATGTACCGTCTGGGGGATGGTCACTCTTGAAGCTTAGACTTGTGGGAGGAGGGGGGAAAGGGCATTATTCGCAACCTTAAATTTTGTATTCTCATAATATGCTGAAATAAAATAATCATTAAAAAGTTAAATGTGAAAAAACATATAATAAGATAAAAGGTATTTTAAAATATGAAGAGGTTAAGAACATTTTTGGAGGCTAAAGGGGATCTTAAATGGTGGCTTGGGTTTGGATTAGGTATTTGAGAACATAATTCTATGTTGTGTGAATATTTGAGAATCAAAGATTTTAGGGAAGAAAAAAGCAAAACATGCTTAGGGTAATCAAGACCTCACAGGCCTCCATTAGGAGATTCCAAGTATCATGTAGTGGGAGATAAGATTAAAAGAAGGAATCTGGATTAATTTGCATAAGGCCTTGGTTGTTCAGGAATTCAATTTATCCCAACAGCATTGGAAATCATTGGGATAGCAGTTCTTGACCTTCTCTGGATCACAGACACCTCTGAGAATCTGATGAGAACTATTCAACTTCTACTCAGAAAAATACTTATCCATAACTGTAAATAGGATATACATACATTTATTTCGAACTATTACAGGGGTACAAATGTTTATGGTTACATGGATTGTTTTTGTAATGCTTGAGTCAGATTTAAAAGTGTGTCTATCACCCAGATAGTGAAAATTGTACCCATCAGGTAGGTTTTCAACCATCCCCTTCTCCTGCTTGATTTCCATTGAGTTTCACTTCTCTCTATGCACATGTGTGCTCATCAGTTAGTTTCAATTTAATAGTGAGTACATACAATTTTAGGACATTTTGATCTGTCAATGGACTCCTGCTTAAGAACTCATGCTATGCAAGGGAAGAAATTACAAAGGTGAGTTAACTGTTATTTTCTAAGACCATAATTCAAAATAAAGGTACAAATTTATTTCTCATTTTCATTTCTTTAGTTGCTCATACTGTAATTAATACACCACAATTTTGTACACCTATTAGGAAATCTATCCCTCTTAAGTGTTCCAAATAACTCCAAACAGCTAACAAACAATGTCTTGGAACCTAAAATATTTACAAATTGTGAAATGCATCTAGTTGTGGGAAGAATATAAGAGATAAATAATTAAAGTCTAGACTAACTAGGGGGCTTTTAACGTCACTATGCAACCTCTGCCCCATCTTCATTTCTTTGTCTCTAGGCAATGGAAGTGGAAAAAGAATATAGGTAGGAGTATATGAGAAACTAGTTTTCCCACCTAGAATACAGTAAACAAGGATAAATGAGTATGATGAGAAAAAAAGAGAGAATTGCTTACGCATTCTTACCCTTTTCCATTCTATTCCTTCCCCTTCCTCTTGGCCACTAACTAACCACCTGGGTGTGGGGATATGATACCAAAGTCATATACTTTATAATATTTGAGCTTCAGCATTCCCATTTAAAAAAGGATTGTACTTAATATCCTGTGGGGTTATCTCTAGCATTAAAAATTAATCTAATTGTTTTAAATTATTAACATTAATTAACATTTTAAATATCTATCATTTCTTTTTATTTCAGGATATTATGGGGTTACAAACACTTTAGTTACATATATTGCCAAGCATGCTCAAACCCCAGACATCATGCACCATCCCCATTAGGTGTGAATTTACCCATCTCCTCCTCCCCCTTCCATCTTCAATTCAATTCCCATTGAATTTTACTTCTGTATGTGCACATAAGTGTTGACCAGTCAGTAACAATTTGATGGTGAGTATATGTGGTGTTTGTTTTTCCATTCTTGTGATACTTCACTTAGAAGAATGGGCTCCAGCTCTATCCAGGATAGTATAAGGGGTATTTTTTCATCATTTTTTATGGCTGAGTAGTACTCTAATCTATGATTTTTAAATGCATAAAAATTGTAACTCTAACCCACTGTAGAGGAAAGCTATATAGCTTTGTATGCTAACCTAGACCATAATTCATAAATAAGAACATGCAACCAGGGATCATCAGACTTTCAATGATGTGGGCATCATGACTAGGAGAGTGTAAATTCTGGCTCTACCACAAATTAGCCAAATGGTCTTAGGTAAATCACATAACATCTCTGTGGCTCAGTTTGTCAATTTTTGAAATGGAGATAATGATAGTATGTATGCCATGAAAAACAGGATATTTTACTTAAAACAGTGTCAACAAAACAATAATTGTTTAAAAACATTGTCTTCTAATACTTTATTCTAAGGTTAATTGTAATTATATAACAACAGTCATGTATTTTAAACTTGTAGACTCAATCTAAGAACACCTATCGTTACAGAACAAGTATAAATGTCACAAACATTGCCGATGCAAGAATAATAATATAATAATAAAATTGGAGGTAGAAGAGAGAAGTAAGGATAAATGTGATCATTTCCTTATTGTCCGTGTCATATAGTTTATAGTTCCTTTCTAAACTTGATGAAAACAACAAAAAAGAGGTACACTGATATCATTATAATGTAATTAATAAAATTAATAAGTAGATAAGGGTGGCAGATAATATCCATGGGCTTCCTGATAAGGAGAAAAGATATATACTATCATAAATTGATTCCATATCATTATGATAATTATCAGAAAAAAGTCAAAGTATCTGACAGTGACTGCATCTAATGACTGGAATGTGATGGGCTACAGAAAAAGTCATGAAGACACATTTTGTTTCTTTTCTTCTCTTGCCTTGGGCTTTAATGTCTGATTATTTTAAAAAAAAAACTATTATGTTCTGATAATAAATTAAAATAAGGGATTAGGAACAGAACTTAATCACAGCTGTATAGCTTTTGCAAATTTATCTGTATATTTTGAGCATATTTTAGTTAATTATTATTTTTTCCACAACAGTAGAATCTGGCTTCCTTTTAATAGCACTATAGTGGACTTTGTGTTTCAACACAAAACTTTTAATTTCCAGGGACTTTGCCAATTTCTGTGCTCTACATTAATTACATGTCTTTGTTCTATATAGCTTAGTCACTCAATTATTGAAATCAGGACACCTCATGACATTCTTAAGTGTACCAATGACAATCACTTTGGAACAGAAAGTTCAACCATTTTTTTCTTTAGATAAACAATATGAACATCTGACAAATACAAAAAGGGGAAAATGATTCATGAAAGAGCATTAAACAACTAAGAGGAAGCTCTTAAAAGTAACCATGTAATGTATAACAGGTAGTTACTGATGATTCATTCAATATGTCAGGAGAGAATATGTAAATGAAGATATTATGAAAGAGAAACAGTGGGTCAGGGACTGATGTAGCAGGGCGATCTAGATATGTATGCTGTATTACCTACAAATATATTCAGACATAATTAAATAGAATACTAACAAATGTAGGACGTGAACATGCTTGCAGGATCGGAGCCTTTCACTTGAAGGGACAATGATAAAGAACAAACAAAGACCGCAAATCCTGATCCTCGGTGTTTTTGTTCATCTGCAAATGTGTACATGAACAGCAAGATCAATATTTTCAGTCCCTTAGTGTGATGCATGTGGGTGCATAAATGAGCACTGGCTTATGATGCAGAATGAACATCTCTATCCCTTCTCATCTGACTGTATTGAAGCCATGAAAAATTTTTCTTCTGTCATACATATGAAAAAAATGTGTTAACATGGATTAAACATGCCTATTGAATGTGAATCTGCCTTCTTTCTAAAATCAGGGTGCTGAGTAATTCATCTGGAAACCCAATCTGGATGGGGTTAATTAAACCCAGCTGGAGCAAGGCACCTGACAAAGATGCTTATTTAAGAGTGTGTTTGCTCTTGGATTGAGCTTTACTGTGAAGAAAAACTATATTCTGAGATTTTCTAGAAGTAAGATTGGCATAAGAATTTGGTAGACTTCTCAAAAATGAAAATAAGGGAAGATGTGGTCCAGTGGCATTTCAAACTGTTAATTAAGGCAATGTATTTATCCCTGGGTTGGGTGAAACAGGAAACAGGAAGACCAAATAGATATTCCTTAGAGTAAATATACTATACATGATATGTGTGTGGGTGTACATACACATGTATGTGTGTGTGTGTGTATATATATATATATATATATATATATAGCATATATGGTATAGTATAAATGATGAAGTATATATATTGTATAGTGTATCTCATATAGTATGTACACACACATATATGTGTATGTATATTTTTTTACTACATGGTTTTCCTTTTTTTCTTGAACTGTTATTAATTCATTTACTGAACTTTTTTATAAAAGAAAAGCAAACAACTATTTTGCCATCCTAGGAAACAATATTATATGGAATATGGTTACTGAATTTGTTTCACTATATTACATTGAGTTCTTTTAATGAAGATCCACAAAAGAACTCTCTCTTGCTTTATAGCAATTGCTTTGTTGTTCCAGAGAAATTGTTTCTTTTGATAGTCTGAGCACTGAGTCATACAATTAATTGTGTTCTGCTCTTTGTCTTGGTTTCTAAGGTGCCCTAATCCTCTTATAACCCTGAACTAGAAGAACATATACAGGGCCTTATGATGTTTATCTAAGCGTGTATCTGATAAGACAAATGTTTCTTTTTCTTCATTATTTATCTAATAATGGTAATTAATTTTACTACAACCACTAACATGAAATTTGGAACCATATTGAGCTCTGTACTTTAGGCTCATACCAATATATTATTTGTATGTAAAGACCAACTTCATTCTCAGCAAAGTTAGAATACTACCTGGATTTTCTGGGAGTCCCAGTGTCAAATATGCTGATCCTCTTCCCCAACCATAAGCAATTTCATGCTCCATAATTTTATCATTTAAATAATTAGATGATATATCACATAAAATGTAGAAAATATTCTTAATCAGCCCAATCCAAATGGATCGTTAGATCAACACAGTCAACATACATAACATGTCACATAGTAGAAAATGATCTGGAACCACATTGGGGAAAAATATATCATCACAGTCTAAATCAATACTTAGATAAATTAAATAATGTCTCAGAAGTCTTTTTTTTCAATTTCTGGGTTAAACAATACAGAAATTCTTATTTTTTTTTATTTCAGCATATTATGGGGGTTCAAATGTTAAGGTTACGTATATTGCCCTTGCCCCCTCTACTCCCTTGAGTCAGAGCTTCAAGCGTGACTATTCCCTAGACAGTGCACATCGCACTCATTATGTATGTATATATCCATCCCCTCCTCCCCCCTCCCATCTGCCCCACACCCAATAAATGTTATTCCTATGTGTCCACTTAAGTGTTGGTCAGTGAAACCAATTTGTTGGTGAGTACAGAAGTCTCCTTACCTATGACTATGGATGAGAGCATTCAAAGCCAGGCCATCAGACCAACTGGTGGTGAAGTTGATGACATTAACCTGTGGATAATTACGAGTTGATTGTCGGACCCAGCTCAGGAGAATCTTTTCACTGTTGGTTTGTTGCAATCCAGCCATGATATTTTTCATTACATTTTTGACCTACATGTGAAAAGAAAGTTTCATAAGAGAATGCATTCCCTGAACAAGAACTATGCAAACATAAGTATGAATGTGTTTGATCTTCAGTGATAAATAGTGGGAACTTTAGGAACAATAGTACTGAGAAGTAATAGATTCTACAAGAACTGATTCCATTATAACTGGTTAGGAGTCTATTTTGATTGGTTGTCATACCATTTACTGAATTCTGTCATATTCAACTGTGCATTTACTGTCTTTATAATTGCTCTCTTCTTGCTTTCAGTGGATAGGCTAGAGAAGAGAGTATATAAAATATTAGACCTATTTGTTGTTAACCAAGGACTTAAGATATATCAGTGAGTTTGGGGTAGGAGCAAATAGTACAGTGAGTGTAGTAGTACATAAAAGAATGTTTCTTCTAAAGCCTAAGTTCAAATTTTGCCTTTGCTATTAACTAAATTCTGTTAATTCAGTAAGTTCCCCTTTTTAAGCCTCAATTTCCTTGTATCTTATATACAAGATTTTGTAAGAATAAAAGTCCAAAATACAGTAAAATAAACCACCTAGATTCATACTATAACTTAAACTTTATCTAACTTTATTGACTGAACTGAAAAACCTTACAGATGTCTATTTAAAATAAAGGGAAAAAGCAACAAAAAATAAACAAAATAAAGAACAGGGATATTTATCCCTAAGAGCAGTAAATGTATGGCTTTGGTTTTATTTTCATTAATTGGTTTCTGTACATTGGATTCTCTCCAAAGCTTTGTGTGTGTATAAATGCTATTCAGCAGGTTATTGTATTTCAAAGTTTCATTCCACTAACTAATCTGATGCAGAAATCCATTCTAAGCATTTTTCCTAAGTTTCAAGAATTCAGTGACACCTCATTATACAACAAACTGACTACATATTTTATTAAAGGAATATTTACTAGGCTACTTTTTAAATATAAGCCAGGCCCCTTATGAGATATTTGAAGAAAGTACATATGTAAATGTGATTAGTCGTTACCACCCAGGGCTTTCCTTTTGGGAAGTATAAGGTCCATATACTATCAACATTTGATCAGATGATGAATATTTATTGTGTATTCTAAATATGTCATTTTATTTTCTTTTTCATCCATATAGAAGTTAACAAATGCCTTTGGGGCAAATACATATTTTATCATCTCCAATGTTTGTCATCTTTTTATGAAAGATTCAATGCAAGTTTTAGGATATAGTATTAAATCTCATTTTAAAATACTTTAAAAACATTTCAGATGATGTTTTGTAAATATGATAATAACTTGAAGATATGAAATCTTTGCATATATTTGTCACAACCCCTTGATACCTAAATCCATTATTTAGGGGTGGATTATCTAGTTTTCTTAATTCTTTCCTGACCTGCTTATTTTGTCAGTTACTCAGTGAATAAATAGGCCAAATAATTATAAAAGATATATAATTTTTCTCATAACATTCTAAAATTATAAAGTGCACAACCTTCAAGTACAGTGATTGCTGGACTTGTACTTTGTGTCCTGTGCCGAATGAGGGTTGGAATCAGTAGATAGTGGCTTAGTAGTGGTGATGGATTTGCAATGATCAGGCAACCCTTTAATGATGAATGGGATTCATTTGTGAAATGCTTGGCCAGACCGCCCTCTATGTGGGTAATGTTAAAGGACAATACAGTATTCAATCCAAAACTCCTATAGCATCATTATGTCACTAATTCGGCTTATCAGCCTCAACCTTATTGGTATTGCTTCTACTTGGGTACTGATGTTGCTGACAAAAAGTAAAAGGTAATGTGTAATAATTACTTCTTCTTCTCCTACTTAAGAGACAGTCATCAAGAAACGAGTGAGCTGGTGCTAAAGGTGAGTCTGTAAGCAGAAAATTTTCCTCTCCTCAGATCTTACTGCCCCTATGAAAGACTCAATTTAAACACAAGTGTGTGCATGTTGGTGCATACAGTTTTATAAATTTGTTTTTTAAAAAATATTGAACTGTCTATGAGCAGTGATTTTTAAAAATGACTAGGAGTTAACCAGGCAAAGAAAATATGATCGATATGGACATGTACCATCAAGATTCACCTTCAAGGAAGGGCTTGTTGGTCCAGCTGTCCTCAGGCAGTTTCTGGCTATAGCACCCTCAGGGGCTAATGAGTTGCAGACTCCTGTCATCCAAGGTAACAACCTTCCCAGGGCAGCCCATATCTAGTGACTGATGAAGAGCAATGGCATAAACACACAGCCATTTGGGCCCCACTCAAAAAAACTCTGAAAGGTCATTCTAGCTCCAACTTGTCCATGTGGTTGAATATGACTGTTGTTGGATCTGCATCAGAGATCTAGTTCTTCCTCTTTCTACTCTTGTCACCTCTACCTTTCCACAGGTGTTGGTCCCAAGGGCATGGCTTAATAATAAACATGCTGCCTGTTAAACTCAACCTCAAAGTAGACTTCCCAGAACCCAGCCTGTGATTAGAATTAGTTGCAGCAAAGGGGTAGGGGTGAAGTGAGGTAGGAATAATCTCCTACAATGAAAGGATCATTTGTGTGTAGCTCTGCAGGAGAGCAGAACAAGAACTGTCTTGCACAAAAGTTATTAGGTAGGAAGGAGTTTATAGGAAGGGCTTTCAGCAGAGTAAAAATTATTCTCTTGTAATTGTATGTTGTATAAATAATATAAAGATTCTAGTGTGAATTATCCCCAGAATTAAGTACTTCCCTTGACTTAACCAGGAAAAATGGGACCTGACTTCTGATAGTTCACCACTGTTAGCAAGATTTGTTTTTATTACCAGCTAGTTGCCAGAACTGAGTTTACCACTCTAAAGAGAATGGTTTGCACTTAAAAAGGAAGGAAGTACAATGTGTCAAATGCACATTATTTACTTCACGATTTTGTTCAAAGCTGCCTATGCTATAAAATGTGCATTATTTTTTATTATAGCAATTTTATTTGAAGTGGAAACTGGAAACATAGCAATGGGGAAATGGGGTTGGCATTCCTGAGTTTTCACAAGTTCAAAGAAAAGTCCTCCACGGCATTACTAGTAACATGGTAGGTGGCATTAGTAGAAAGGATTCACATCTTTCCATCTCTTAATGTTGTTCTTAATCGGATAGACCTGGAAAGTCCATTAAGTTGGCCTAAATGTCCTTTACTCTTTGCTGAGATTGAAGGGCTTCTACTATTTAATAAGAAGGCACATATGTAATTTTGGCAAAAATATATTTTGAAATTCACTGGCTTATAATGAAGAACATTGAACAGGAGTATGTTTTAAAGTGTACTTAATAGTTTTAGGAGAACAGGGCAGTGTGGTAGAAGAGAGAGATAAGTAGACAGAGACTGGGAAGAGTCTACATCCTTGCAATCTCAAAGATGTTGTGATTCAAGGACATATATGGAAAACAACTGGCTATAGGAGAGTTCTTAGAAAAGTAAAAACTGAAAAAAAAAACATTCCTTCTGGTATTCCTGAAGGTGTAAAAGCTCCTCAATATACTAATAATAAAAAAATGAATAACTCACAAGCAAATGAAGAAATTATCAGACGGAATAGTCTTGAAACTCTATTTTGGAGTGACTTGAGGTGGAGTTGGGAAGGGTTTTGAGGAAATAAAAAAAAGGGCAAGTCACATGAAAGATAGTGTGAATGATAACTACATTCAAAAATGTCTTTTGGAACTCTGCTGGCTTTGTCACAACTAACATCTGTGTTACTCAAAGTGGAGTCTGCATACTGGAGTCACTCTAGGACCAATTGGGAATATGTTAGAAACTTCTATAGCAATTTTAGAGTACAATTTGCATCTGTTACATTTGATAATAAAAAAGGAAACTTGGGTCTTTGGTGTCATTTCATTTTGTAATGATTCCATTTTATTGTATTTTACATTTAATGGATTGGGGGTAAAACTATTCCATACAGAAGATATATTGGAAAGTACTGGGCAATAGGAAAAAGGCAGTTTGGTGAGAGGTGGGGTATGTTACTTTGCTGTTTCTATTTGATACCATCAATATGTGGAAAGGACTGAAAATTGGCCAACTTGGGCTCAGTTCAGGCTCTTATGAGCTATTCTCTGTTATCAGCAGTTATGGTCTCTCTCTCTCTCTCTCTCTCTCTCTCTCTCTCTCTCTCTCTCTCTCTCTCTCTCCTCTCTCTGTCATTTTCTTCCTACATTGCTGTGAAATAGAGTTAAACCTGTTCAAAGAGTTTGGAATAAAAATATATGGGGGCCAATTGGGAGAGCAATAAGGTTGCTGAGTTAAGTAGTTTTACCTCTGGTCTACATGCTATCTGACCCTGAGCAAGACCAATTTAAAATTCAAGTTAAAAGTCAACTCTACAAAATGAAGTTGTGATATCCACTACAATAGGAATGGAACTCAAATATCATGCTCGGTGAAAGAAGTTAGACACAAAAGGACACGGACACATATTATTATGATCCCATTAATATAAAATATCCAAGAATGCAAATATATAAAGATAGAAATAGATTAATAGTTGCCTAGCAATGGGGAAGAAGTAGGAAATGAAGAAAAAAAATTCATTTTAGAGTGGTAAAAAAGTGGCCAAACTATATTGCTGTGACAGCTGTAAAATTTTAAAATATCCTAAAAATTTTGATAGATTGGGAAGAATCCTGTTCCCTCCTTAATAAACTTTGAGGAGCTACTGAACAATAGAGCTAAATTAGATTGGTACTCATTGAATTTTACACTTAGAATGGGAAAATTTATGCTATAAAAATTACATCTCAATAAAGCTGTTTTATAAAAAAGTAATACCTACCAGGGAAGATGACAGACATATCTCAAGTATACTCCAAATTATGAGTGGAAAACTCTAGGCAATTAATGCCATTCATATGATACACCTCAAATAAAAGCAATGCACCATACTGAGTATTACAGATATTCTCTCATTTAATCCTGATGAGAAATATACACATGTTCATCTCTATTTTTTTCTCTTTTGACAGTGAAAGGACTATGGCCCAGTAAGGGATGACATTATACTCAATGCCACTAAGATGGTAAGTGGGGAAGTTCAAATTTAAATATATGTTGGCCTGACTAAAATATATATACTATTTTCCCTAAGCCAAAAAAACCCCAAAAAGCTTCAATCTGTTTTATAGAAGTGAAAAAAATTTAGACAGTCAGAACACCATAACTCAGGTGATTAAAAAAAAATGCAATTTCTAAATCAGATTATGAAGTGAGTTTGTGCACATAACACATATGTTCATATAAATACTCATATACCACTAATATTTTACAAGCATTAGTATACATTGAGAATATATCAGACAAACAAAGGTCCATTCCTTTGATAGTGGTTAAAAGGAAAAATACCTTTCTTTTATCTATGTAGATTCACTTATATGCAAATTATAGAACACAAATATTTATGAAAAATAGTTTTATTAACTTATGGTTGAGACTTTGTAATTTTTGCCTCACCATTACCCAATTAAATAAAATTTAGAAAAATATTCCTGCAAATATATCAGAACCTATTTTATATTTTTCGTATCCTTAACATCTCAGATGATATGAATAGTTCCAATTTAAAACCAGCACTATGAAGATGACCTTGGTATTGTTAGATATATACATGTTTGTTTTGCTGGTCAAGGGTAAAATGAAAGGAAGAATTAGCAACATGTTACCCAAAACAGAACTATTCAAAAGGATTCTTACCTGCCAGTGGAGGATTATATTCCAAATCAAACCAAGAGTCAGTTTATGATTTCCATCTACTATATCAGTGCTTCCAATATTCACTAAATCAACCTGATAAAGAGAAGGGGAAAACATTTGAAGATAGAGGACCAAACAAAGTTATAAAGAATACAAAATGTGAAGGTAATTGCATTTAACTATTTTCAGAGCCTAAGCAGCATTATAGCTTTTAAAAAGTAATCTAAAAATGAAACAAAAGACATTTGTAAATTCATTTTCCATAACAAACAAGTGCTCACAAATACATTTAAAGAGATGGAAAATTAATGTACTTTTAGCAAATGAATGGATTTCTGCAGATGAAAGAGGCCATATTATCACCAAATAAAATATATAACAATGATAGCCCATAAAGAATGCCTAAAATTGAAACATAAAAAAGAAGTTTCATCAATCCTTCTGTTTATCTCAGAGGAGTGCTATTATAACTAAGGGTGACTGCATTCAACTAAAATGTCCCTGCTTTATAAAGAATATTAAAACTCTAATAAAGAATAGAGCAAATGTCCAGCTTCCCTTTTCTCTATCGGGGACTGAGTTTGGAATTCAAAATCTGGCAGTTTCATTTTTCAAGGCAAATCTCTATGTCTCCTGTCCTTCGTGTTCTTAACATATTTAGGTGTATTCAAAATAAATATAAGCATCAGGCAAATAAGCACATGAAAAGATGTTCAACATTATTAGCCATTTGAAAAATATAAATTATGGCCACAATGATATATCACTGCACACTTATCATAATGGCTAAAATAAAAAATAGTGACATCAAATGCTGGTGAGGATGTGGAAAAACTTGATCACTCAAACACTGCTAGTGAAAATGTAAATGGTGCAGCCACTCTGAAAAAGAATTTGACAGTTTCTCACAAACTGAACATGTATATTTACTATATAACTCATTAATTGGTCTCTTGTCATTTATCCCAAAGAAATGAAAACATATATCTATAAAAAAGCCTGAACTTAAGAGTTCATACTATTAACAGCCTTATTTGTAATAGCCCCAAACTGGGAACAACACAGATTCCCTTCAAGAGTAAATAATTAAACAATCTGTGCTACAGCCACACCATGGAATACCATTCAGCAATGAAAAAGAACGAACTATTGATACATGCAGCTATTCAGATGAATTTCATGGGAATTATTCGAAGTGGAAAAAAAGCCAGTCTCAAAGAGTTACATACTGTATGATTCTACTTTTTTTTTTTTTTTTTTGAGACAGAGTCTCGCTTTCTTGCCTAGGCTAGAGTGAGTGCCGTGGCGTCAACCTAGCTCACAGCAACCTCAAACTCCTGGGCTCAAGCGATCCTCCTGCCTCAGCCTTCTGAGTAGCTGGGACTACAGGCATGCGCCACCATGCCCGGCTGATTTTTATATTATATATATTAGTTGGCCAAGTAATTTCTTTCTATTTTTATGGTAGAGACGGGGTCTCACTCAGGCTGGTTTTGAACTCCTGACCTTGAGCAATCCGCCCGCCTCGGCCTCCCAGAGTGCTAGGATTACAGGCGTGAGCCACTGCACCCGGCCAGATTCTACTTTTAAAACAGTCTTGAAAAGATAAAATTATAGAAATGGAGAACAAAGTGGTAGTTGCCAGAGGGTAGGGATGGGGATGGATATGTAGGGTGGTAGGTGGAGGTAGTTATACAAAGGCAATATGAGGGATCCTTGTAGTGATAGACCTGTTCTGTGTATTAACTCTATGTTGGATATACAAAACATGTGATAATGTTAATATAGAATTAAATACGCACATAAACATGCATGCATGCACACAAACATGAGTACAAGTAATATTGGGGACATCTGAATACTATTGGTCAATTGTATCAGTGTTCACCTCCTGGTCATGATATCATACTTTAGTTTTACAAGATATTATCAGATCCTAGGGGAGATTAATAACTTAAGGACAAGAAAACACCATCATCTATATTTCATTTGGGAATTCCTCATGTGGCAGTAGTGAGGGGAGCTCTTCCATATGCAAAAACCACTATAAATTTATCAGTTGACTCATTGATTCGTTCATTCAAAAAATACATTTTGGTTATATGCCAGGCACTGATGTACTTAAAACACACAAAGTAAAAACTTTCCTGCTTTCACAAAACTTAATTTTCGTGAGAGTGATAATCAGATCATACATTGTTGAAGATTCAATTATTTAAATAGAGAATATGTAATTTTTAGGAAATAGACTCATACTAGGAAAATCGCTGCTGGTGGTTATGTTTTGGCTTGCCATTGAGCTGATCCTGGGGAGACTTAGAGCAAGCAATAGGCACTTAGATTGCAGCAGCCCCTATCCACTGTCATTAGATTGCTCACTGTGTGAGAGGAAGATGGTTCCTCCATTTCCTTATCCTCATAAAATTCCTCATAAGGTGCAATCTCTATTATGTTCAAGTACTGTGCTCAGATCTGATAAAAAAAAAAGAGTAAGGTAGAAGCCCTAATGTCAAGAAATCCACAAGTTAATAGGAGGCTGCATAATAAAAACTAATTACAATTAGGTAGGCTCTAGCAATTCTACCTCTAGGTACATACACAAAAGAATTGAAAGCAGGGACTCAAACAGATATTTATAGACCAATGGTGATAGTGGAATTATTCATAGTAGCCAAAAAGTAGAAACAACCCAAATGTTTATTGACAGATAAATGAATAAGCAAAATGTAGTATGTACATAAATGGTATATTTTCAGCATTAAAAAGGAATTAAATTCTGATACAAACTACATCAATGAACCTTGGAACATATGCTAAGTGAAGTAAGCAAGACAAAAATGACAAAATATTGGCCGGGCATGGTGGCTCACACCTGTCATCCTAGCACACTGGGAAGCCAAGGCGGGCAGATCGTTTGGGCTCAGGAATTCGAGACCAGCCTGAGCAAGAGCGAGACCCCATCTCTACTAAAAAATAGAAAAAAAATTATCTGGGCATGGTGGCGCATGCCTGGAGTCCCAGCTACTTGGGAGGCTGATGCAGGAGGATTGCCTAAGCCTAGGAGTCTGAAGTTGCTGTGAGCTAGGCTGACACCATGACACTCTAACCTGGGCAACAGAGTGAGACTCTGTCTCAAAAAAAAAAAAAAAATGACAAAATATTGTTTGATTCCACTTATTATAGGTACCTATAATAGTTAAATTTATAGAGGACGTACTAGAACTTGCCAAGAGCTAGAGGAGAGGGAAATGGGAAGTTATGGTTTAATTGGTATAGATTCAGTTTGGGATAATGAAAAAGTCCTGGAGATGAATTGTGGTGATGATTACTCAACACTGGGAATGTACTTAATGCCACTGAATTTGTACACTTAAAAATAGTTAAAATAATATCTCAACACAATAAAAGCCATATATGACAAATCCAAAACTAACACCATACTCTGGTGAAAAGTTGAAAGCTTTTGCACTAAGATCAGGAATAAGACAATGATGCCTACTCTCACCACTTCTTTTTAACACAGTACTGGAAGTCCTAGCCAGAGCCATCAGGAAAGAGAAAGAAATAAAAGGTATCCAAATTGGAAAGGAAGAAGTAAAATTATCTCTGTTTACAGATGACATGACAGATATAATAATCTCTAAAGACTCCAGAAAAAAAAACTGTTAGAACTAATAAATATATTTGGTAAATTTACAGGACAAAAATCAACATACAAAAATAAATAGTGCTTCCATATGTGAAAAATAAACTATCTGATAAAGAAATAAATAAAATAATATTGATAGTTACTCCCCAAATAAAATATTGATGAATACATTTAACCAAGGAGGTTAATTATGTGCACACTGAAAACTATAAAACACTGATAAAAAAATTGAAGAAGATACAAATAAAGAGAAAGATATCTCATATTAATGGGTTGGAAGAATTAATACTGTTAAAATATCCATAGTATTCAAAGAAATATACAGATTCAATACAATCCTTATCAAAATTGCAATGATTTTCTTATAAAAATGAAATAAAAAATTCTAAAATTCATATGGAAGCACAAAAGACCTGAGATAGCCATAGCAATCTTAAACAAAAAGAACAAAGTCTGAGGCATTCCACTACCTGACTTCAAAATATACTACAAAGCTTTAGTAATCAAAACAGCATAGAACTGGCATAAAATAAGAGACATAGAACAATGAAAGAGAATAGACAGTCTAGAAATAAACACACATATTTACAGTCACTTGATTTTCAACAAAGATACCAAAAACACACAAAGGGGAAAGGACAGTCTCTTCAATAAATTGTGTAAGGAAAACTAGATATCAACATACAGAAGAATGTAATTAGATTCTTATCTCACACAATATACAAAAATCAACTCAATGTGGACTACAGAAATAAATGTAAGACCTGAAATTGTAAAACTACTAGAAGAAAACATAGAGGAACATCTCCATGACATTGGTCTGGTCAAAGATTTTTTGGATATGACCCCAAAAGTACAGAAGACAAAAGCAAAAATAGACAAAAGGCATTACATAAAACTAAAAAGACTCTGCACAGCAAAGAAAACAATTAAGAGTGAAGAGACAGCCCATTGAGTGGGAGAAAATATTTCTATTCTATATATCTGATAAGCTAAAATATATAAAGAACTTACCTCAATATTTAGAAAACAAACAAACCTATTAAAAATCAGCAAAGGATCTAAACAAACATTCCTCAGAAAAAGACATACAAATGATCAACATGTATATGAAAAAAATGTTCATCATCACTAAGCATCAGAGAAATATGCAAATTACAACTACAAACAAGTATCTCCTCATACCTGTTAGAAAGGCTACTATGAAAATGATGGAAGATAAATTTTGTTGAGGATGTGAAGAAAAGACAACCTCACACACTCTTGGTGGGAATGTACATTGATACAGCCATTATGAAAAAAAGTATGGAAATTTCTTTACAAATTAAAAATAGAATTACGATATTCACCAGAAATTCCACTATTGGGTGTATATTCCAAAGGAAATTAAATCAGTGTGTTGGAGAGATATGTGCACTCCAGTGATCACTGTAGCATGATTCAC